ATTATGATGAATAAACCAATAGGATATTTCAATAATGTTGTAAAGTCAACTTCTACCAATTACTAAGTACCTAATACCAGCCCAGAAGAGAACAAAAAATAGCCAAGTACCAGAGATATGAACCAAGGATTGAGGTGTTCAAGAATTCATTCTTTCCTAGAACTATCACAGAGTGGAACTCGCTGTCACCAAATACAATAGAAAGCTTTAAACTGTTACAGTGTTTAGAGTTAGATACATTGTATTCGAGGCTTTGGTGTAACAAGTCGTTCGGTGTAATGTAGCCAGCTGCCACCGCGCAGCGTGCCTGCAAAGCTGGTGTGTTACACTGAAGGGCGGTTATACCGGCTATACAGATACAGAAGCTGGTGTGTTACGCCGAAGGACGGTTATACCGGCTATACAGATACAGAAGCTGGTGTGTTACGCCAAAGGGTGGTTATACTGGCTATACAGATATAGAAGCTGGTGTGTTACACCGAAGGGTGGCTATACCGGCTATACAGATACAGAAGCTGGTGTGTTACACCGAAGGGTGGTTATGACGGCTATACAGATACATATAGAATACAACACAGTGTATTCCGTATCGCCCGAGGTACCAGCCCGACCGCGCGTCGGATCGCCCGAAGGCAGGAGGGTGATCCGATCTGCGGGAGGGCTGGGACCGAGGGTGATGCGGAATAAACCGTGTTGTATTATATTTATGTCATACCCACCCACGAAAACACGCCTTTCAATGCGAAATGAGCAAAAATTTGGTGTCCCTAATCCCAAAAAACGCAAGAACATCAATTCCAACGTCCGAATTTTGCATTCGAATTGTCGAAAGCGTTGCACGCGGTTAGGGCGAAACGCGTTCGAATTGTTCTATGGAACATTTGGAAGGGCCGGGCTGTACGCGTTAAGAAACCCCGGGCCGTACCGCTAGTTATCACACGGCCGGAACACCCGTATCGAACGTAATCGTGGCCCGGGTAGGACATAAAGATAGATACAGAATCTACAGATTTTTACTTTCATTGCAGAGAATACCCAGGGAGCGATGACACTCAGATGACCCAGAAAGACACCCAGTCGGACGGAACAACCTACCTTCTAACTCTGAAGCCAGGCATTCGGTTCAAGTTCCAAGTGGCAGCAAAAGTGGGAGGCATCATCTATGAAGCATCTGCACCTGTCTTCCAAACAATACCAGAAGGAGGTACAGTAACTCTGGATGTTAAAGATATGCTTTACAATTTTTTTTATTCCAATATTTCATGACTAGACATGGTGACAGCACACTTACGGTATATCAACTTATTGTATGCTGTCACCAACCCAGAAAACAAATACAGGACAGGACAATACTCATTTTTACTTGAGTTAAGTGAGGAAAGTCGTGTAAAGTGCCTTTCCCAAGGGCACAAGATCGGTGGCATGTCAGGACTCGAACCTGAAACCTCTTGGAGTCAAGCACTCTGCCGCTACACCACATAACCCCAAAATTGTTGAGGCATTGTAAAGTTACCTTTTTTTGTCAAGTTGAACATGTTTTGAAGTGTAGTTTCTCGTTTTAGTTGAGTTATTGAAAATTAAAATAACATCGTAGGAAACATAGGAACAGAGAAAATGAATGATTTTAGACCACAGTCAGCACCAGGGACAGTGAAACACAGTCAGCACCAGGGACAGGGAAACACAGTCAGCACCAGGGACAGGGAAACACAGTCAGCACCAGGGACAGGGAAACACAGTCAGCACCAGGGACAGTGAAACACAGTCAGCACCAGGGACAGGGAAACACAGTCAGCACCAAGGACAGGGAAACACAGTCAGCACCAAGGACAGGGAAACACAGTCAGCACCAAGGACAGGGAAACACAGTCACCACCAAGGACAGGGAAACACAGTCAGCACCAAGGACAGGGAAACACAGTCACCACCAGGGACAGGGAAACACAGTCAGCACCAAGGACAGGGAAACACAGTCAGCACCAGGGACAGGGAAACACAGTCAGCACCAGGGACAGGGAAACACAGTCAGCACCAGGGACAGGGAAACACAGTCAGNACCTCGCAATCACGTCCGTTTTGGACAATTTAGACGGAATATCGTCGCTCAAAAATGAGCAAAAAGATGCATTGAATAATTTCGTTCGTGATGTTTTGGGCGTCCTACCGGTAAAAAAAGAACGCACCGAGAAAAGGAACACTCGCGCGAAGATCTGTGTTTACAAAACAACAAACATCACTTGAATAATGCAGGTGCGCCATTGGCCGTCGCCTCTGAGGCTCAGCCAATCAAATGAAGCCCCGCTGCTCGGGCTAGCTCATTACGTGACGTCATGACCAATCGTTTTATATGTGTTCAAGTCCAGACCCAGTTATAGAGTTTGCGAATATACTACTGGGGATGGTACCCAGGCTACAGTAACTCTGGATGTTAAAGATATGCTTTACATTTTTTTTTTATTCCAATATTTCATGACTACACATGGTGACAGCACACTTACGGTATATCAACTTATTTTATGCCGTCACCAACCCAGAAAACAAATACAGGACAGGACAATACTCATTTTTACTTGAGTTAAGTGAGGAAAGTCATGTAAAGTGCCTTTCCCAAGGGCACAAGATCGGTGGCATGTCAGGACTCGAACCTGCAACCTCTTGGAGTCAAGCACTCTGCCGCTACACCACATAACCCCAAAATTGTTGAGGCATTGTAAAGTTACCTTTTTTTTGTCAAGTTGAACATGTTTTGAAGTGTAGTTTCTCGTTTTAGTTGAGTTATTGAAAATTAAATACATGAGATTTACTAGGAACAGAGAAAATGAATGATTTTAGACCACAGTCAGCACCAGGGACAGGGAAACACAGTCACCACCAGGGACAGGGAAACACAGTCACCACCAGGGACAGGGAAACACAGTCAGCACCAGGGACAGGGAAACACAGTCAGCACCAGGGACAGGGAAACACAGTCAGCACCAGGGACAGGGAAACACAGTCAGCACCAGGGACAGGGAAACACAGTCAGCACCAGGGGCAGGGAAACACAGCCAGCACCAGGGGCAGGGAAACACAGTCAGCACCAGGGGCAGGGAAACACAGTCAGCACCAGGGACAGGGAAACACAGTCAGCACCAAGGACAGGGAAACACATTCAGCACCAGGGACAGGGATGTATTTCTTATGTATTTTTGCTGTGGTCTAAACATATTTTCTGTCTATGTCCCAATAGTTCCCTCAGCGCCTCAGAACCTCCACTGCAGTCTGCGCCCACAATCTCTGGTGATTGTCGACTGTTCCTGGCAGCAGCCCAGTACCCCTAATGGTGTCATCCAGTACTATCAGGTCAGACTATCTTCTACTTTTGGTACAATGCCATGTACAAATGTACATTGAAATGACGTTAACCATGACTTTGAACATACCTGACATTGTACAATACGCCTACAAAAAATATGTTGCTGCCATGTGTTTTCTGTTTCCTTTCAGGCTTTTACATGGCTTTTATAATAGAGTGATGATTATGAATAATACAGTTCTTTATTGCAAGTTCATGCCCGAGGGCTAATTTCAAACAGACATTGACAAGAACAATGAGTACACTGAAAATATGAGTGTACTCCAAATTCCACTTTGTTAGACTGTATTGTATTGTATTGTATTGTAAGTTGGATCACTACAGATTGCCAGAGTCTAATGAAAAGAGAGAAAGGAAAAGAAAGAAAAAAAGGATAATCCATACGTACCGACCCTAACTGAAACAGGAAACACACACAACATTTTTTTCCTAGGCCTTGATATAGGTCAACATTAATTGCCTCCTGGTGGCTTTCCTTGGTATAGCAGTAGCAGTTGCAACCTCTGCTTTGAGTGATTTTTTCCTGCCTCACTACAGGTGGAGTATGGTACAGACATTGGCTTTTTGACTGAGCAGATGAGAGTTAGGCTCCTGAATGCCACTATCCAAGACCTCCAGCTGGGTCTGAGATACTACATCAGGGTGACAGGCTACACCAGCGTGGGGAGGGGGGCGCCTGCCTCCACCACTGTCGCCACATCTCCAGCAAGTAAGCCTGTCTGATATCAGTCCTGGATCACAGTGCAAGAAGGATTTAACCGGCTAGACTAAGTATAAGCTGGTTCCCGATTTGAACTGTATTGTGTTGTATGAAGCACTGTGGGTAGTACAAGTCAATCATGTAGATGAAATACCACACACTGTCAGTGTAGTCTGCATCACCCTTGGCCGTTGAGTGATCCAACCCGCAGATGAGCTGGCACCTCGGGTGATACAGAATAAACCATGATGACGTTTTTGTTGTATTCTAAGAGTTACTAAGACTATTATTTTACATATCTCTCTGTCTTGCTCCAGCCATTGGTGCTAAACCTACCGCTGTCAGTCTTACTCCTGCCAGAGGTAGCATCACTGTGAGCTGGACTGCACCAAACGTACCAAGTCAGCAAATCAAGGTAGGGGCCATTTTGGTGTGTGTCTGTGACTGTGTGTGTGTGTCTGTGACTTCATGTGTGTGTGTGTGTGACTGTGTGTGTGTGTGCGCGCGTGCATGTGTGTGTGCATGTCTGTGACTGTCTGTGTGTACACGCATGTGTGTGTGTGTCTGTGACTGTGTGTGTCTGTGACTGTGTGTGTGTATGTGTGTACATTTGTATGTGTATGTGTATGTGTGTGTGTGTGCACAAGTGCGCGTGTGTGTCCCTAAGTTGAAACTGTCTTCTGTGTTCCTGACCCAGATGATTTAGTTTGACGTTGCACCAAACTGTTCAAATCTACATTTGGTAATCACTGAGCCCTAAACTTTTGTCAAATGCTTTCTAGGTTTACAGGACAGTACTTGTGTGGATATACTGCCAAACGCAAATTATAGCTATTGTACGATCAATACCGGTATACAACTGTAGTGCACGAAATTTATGAGGCTTTCAGTTGTGATTTAAATGCATTTTACGCAACTTTTTCACAAGATAGTATTAATTTAAAACTGTGTGTCAAACACAATTGGGAAGGAAAATTCTGAACTGCAGATCTAATTCTTCTCCTGCCAGCATTTTAAAACCTGTTCCTCTTTTTCATTGACTTCTAAGGGCTACACTATCTGGTACAATTCTGCAACTGAATCCATTTCTGACAAGATGATTGTTGGCGACCGAACTGCAACCAGCGCTACAGGTTAGAACATACATACAATGTGATGTGTACAAGGGATCTAACTCAACATGACCTCTGTACCTTCAGCCTGCTAAGGTACAAACGTAGCCACATGGCACCAAATTTGTATCATTTACCAGTCTTGGCAGTGGACGGAAAGTAGAATTTTGCATTTTTATTTATTTATTTCAACTTTACCACATTCCTGTCAAGGACAGGACAGGGAGAACAGGCAGATGCCTTTTCAAGGCCCCCTGTCCCGATAAAAA